ATTTTGTTGTAAAAAATATCATTCTTACAATATTTCCAAGAAAAATCAACCTCTTTTATATGTTTTATATAAATTTTCTTTTGTAGATAGATGCTTTTGTTTATACGTTTGACATATCTCAGTGACACGGTTTGCTCTGACATGTTCACAAAACAAGGATTTTATTACAAGGATGTAATACGAAGGAGCTCTTTCGAGGAAACATCTGGTCATGCTCCTTGTTCAGTTCTTACGATTCCCTCAGCTAGTGTTGTTAGCGTTGCAAATTTTGAAATCTATATACGAGGTTTGAACATCGATTAACAATAGCAATGTATAGGTACTGTCGCCTTCGTTTATCCCTCCCCTTACGTTATCAGATAAAACAATTATCCTTCATTGTTGGAGCTATTACCTCCTCGAATCTAAATACACTGATTAAATTCGAATAATCACAATAGACGCAGTATGTTAATTTTATAGGAATGATCAACTACAGATTTTATTCGTATTGCTACAGGATGAAATTTTCAGCATACTATTACTATTGATGTATGTTAAAATATCTTTTCTAAGTAAGGTGACAGCTGCAAATTATGCCCTCTCCATTAGTTTTCCGATGAGGAAAAATACTAGGCGCCTTAATTGGTATATCGTTATACCATGTTAGAGTAAATCTTATCAATGATGGAGATTTAACCCATATTTTACGCTTACTTATCTGTCAATAAATTATTTATGCTCATGCACTTTATCCCAAATTATATATTATATAATATTTTATATCAAATTTCAATATAATCCATCATTTTATACACAACGAAATGCCTGTAGCAAGTCAGAAATATGATAGTTGTTGTCTATTCATTTGATGTGTTTAAACTTTTGCTTTTTCAATTTGAATCAAATACTTTTATAATCATAGTGTATGAACAAATCTTTTATTTTCAATAGTTGTTACTGTTGTTTAGGATGCTTCTTATTGGGAAGAATGGCAATATTTTCCCCCTTTAGGCTACGATACCAGTCTATGTGTATTAACAACTACAAATTTAACGCGTCCACTAATGTCATGTGATTTGAAATTATCGGGCGTTTCATTTAACATATAGTGTCTAGAAAATCACATGTTCCAAATAAATATATTACTTACAATCTATAATATTTGTTATTTTACAACTGTGTGTATCATCTGAAAATAATTGATTAATTTTGAGAGTTTTTAAGATTACAAATATTGTATCAAACTATGCTGTAAATATAGCTCGATTTTCCAAAAATATGAAAAAAAAATAATACCTATATATGATTCCATAGACACTTCATAATTTTATTTCAGTACGTTTGTTTGACAGTTTTTTTCGTTTGTGCGTCATTTTATCCATCTTTTGTATTCGAAATTGAATTGATTGACAGAGTTTCATAAAAAGCCATTGACAGATCTTACTCATAAGATTAAAGTTTGTAATTCTTATTTTGTATTTTAAGTTCAAGCAGGTTAAACACTGATTATGGTTTCCCTTACCAGATCATTGACCATGCCATTTCTTTAAAGGACATGTAAACTTACATCCGTTTTTACTGCTTAACATTGTATGACAATGTATGCAATCTTAAACAAACAAGGCTACTCTTTGCCTCATTTTTCCACAGAATATAATTTTAGTATTCCTTTAACGATGTATGGAGTTTCCATTGGTTTTTTAAGGGGGTGTACATTTGTATTCGCAGCACCCGATAAACACTCGATACTTTCTTTCGATTTAAACCACTAGTATGTAAAATTGCAGATATCCTTATTTTCAAACAAAATAATTGTGTAGTAACCTTACCAAACTTTACATTGCAGTGATCGGGGAAGTCGTTCTGTAAGCTTTACCTTTATTTAAATGTGGGACAGAATACATATTGGTTTAATTTCTTGGTATTGTTTTATCAGCCTTTTTATAACAAACAAACAACCAACACTTTTCAGTCTAAGTGCAGTAATCTAATATTAAATCCTAACACACAGTGGCGTGATTGGTTTTTGTTAAATATGAAATGTTTACATCCTGTTCCAAACTGGTTTTCTTTTTAGCATCGTACAGGTGTGGTATGATTGCCAATGTAACAAGTATCCATATACGTTCAAATGAAAGGGATATTATTAATTATAGGCCATCTTACAGACTGGTTTAAGACATCCTCTTTTCAAAAATACATTTGCAAAATTAAATTTTAGAGAAATATATATTGTACAATGATAATGAATAACTTAAAAAAGAAAACAAAAACAGCTTATTAAATATCAGTACTAGGATATGATTGTTTCTAATGTCGTTTTGATTTGTTAATAAAAGAATATTAATATTCATTATTATTACGACAAAGACTATAGAGTATCAAAGAAGTGTACAATGGAAAATAAGAAAATAAAAGAGATTAATAGAGGATAGTTTGCTTTGTTTGTTTTATTTGGAATTTATCTCAAAACAGGACTTTACAAAGAGTTTTTTGTAAACTTTAATTGAATTGCGATACACAGATACCTTTAACATTATATATCAGAATCATCATCGTCATGGTCTACTTGAATCTAACTTATAATATTGTACCTTCTATTTTACATTGTAGTAACGTGACATCATATCAGGAACTTGGTATGCCTTTTGATTGCACTAGAAAACTTATGTATATACCTTACTAAGTAAAATCAACAGCAACTGCACATTGACTTGCATGTTGGTCATGATTAAGTGGCAACCAAACACAACAAGACAGTATGCAATATAGTGAAATACATTGACATTGAAAATGTATTCCTGGAATATTACTTAAAGACAAACCAGCCTATTCAGTTTTACCAGTGATTTTTCGTTAAAATTTTGTGTGAAGGATTGGGTTTTATGAATATATTATATAGAATTAGAAATTAGAAAAAGAACAGACACGGCTTCCTCTGCCTCATTTTAAGACTTATACATCGAATTTGACACAAGCGGTCATCTCAGTAACAAAATCTATGACAAATGAGACGATTTTAATTTTGAAATTATCAATTTCCTCCACCTTAATTGCAATATAGTAACTTCACCTACATATGGGATATACATTTCCCAACTCATTCGGTATTCAAGCTGCATTTGTATTCGTGTGTATTTATTTCGGACCACTCTGCAAAATACTACCCTTCATTTAACTTGATATCAAATTGAAAAGGTTTTAATCTAGTCATAGATAAACCTCAATATCAACTATCTAACCGGTTTTGAGCTTGGTATGTACATTCATAGGGTGTGTACATTTTATTCTATAAATCAAAATATATTAATTAATTAGCTCGACATGCGTTGTGGAATGTGTATTAGTAATATTTTTTTTTCGAGCTTTAAAGTTAAAGGTTTAAATTAGAAATGAATAATCAAAATGACCCACCATTCTAGTCTATTAAATTATATCATTACCTTTCTAATGTTTTTGATGGACTGCTTGTCCCAGGGAATGTTAGGTTTATCAGCAGCTGTAATAAAACAGAGGGCCTTGATCTTCCTGGTAGCGGCCTAGATTGAATGCGGCTATCTTATGATTATATGGTTGATGAAAAGCTGGGGAATACAAAAAGAAAACATCTGATTCTAGACAAAGATAATGCTTTGGATAACTCTTACAAAACGACATTTAAAAACATTCGAGTTTGCAAGCTATGGAGGAAGATCCTTTTTGTCTGTCACTACTGAAATACTGAATATGGATATTCAAAGACATGCTAAGTTTTTAAGCATCTACGATGAAAAAGCGCCATCAGGTTTAATATCTATTAAATTATATAGAACCGTTATAATGTTGAGGTTGAGTTGATGAGTAAAAATACCCGTAAATAAACGCAACAGTAGTATACCGCTGTTCGAAATTCATAAATCGATTGAGAAAAAAAAAATCCGGGTTACAAACTAAAACTGAGAGAAACGCATCAATTATAAGAGAACTACGACACAACAGAAACACAACATTAAAATGTAACACACACAGAAACAAACTATAATATAACAATGGCCACTTTCCTTACAGTGACCTATAGTTGTAACTTTCTGTGTCATTTGGTCTCATATAGAGTGTAGTGTAATTTGCAATCATGCCATATCTACTTGTTCTTATTATGAGTAAACTATATTTTCCTCTGAATAACTTTCTGGTTGTGTTTTTCTGGCATTTGTGCGTTTCATTGCAGACTGATGGATTACAGTACATGATATTTATTTAACGTCTCAAGTATTCATTCTTTTCTTGATCCTGATGTGTTATTTGAGCAACACAACTGGTGCCACATGAGGAGCAAGATCTGTCTACCCTTCCGGAGCACATGAGATCACCCCAAGTTTTTGGAGGGGGGTTCGTGTTGCTTAGTTTATATTTTTTTTTTTTTTTTTTTTTTTGTGTACTTTTATTTGTCTGATTGTTTTTTTTTTCTCTTTTTTAGCCATGGTGTTGTCAGTTTATTTTAGATTTTTGCGTTTGTATGTCCCTCTGGTATCTTTCGCCCCTCTTTGATGACGTCAATCCAGAGCCGAAAGTCGTAGGTCTTGCAATTGTAAACATGATTTCAAACTATCTTTCCTATGATCAACCAATACATAATTCTACTGTAAACAAAAGGTTTGATCCGGCAAAATGGGAAAACATAGTTCATTCCTTCTGTATTGTGTGTGTTGTTTGAAAACCATTAAAAATGTAAGGACGCGTAAAAAGTATATAGTTAAGACCGCTGGTTTTCCCGTTTGAATGGTTTTTAATTTTTTGGGGGCCCTTTATAGCTTGCTATTCGGTGTGAGCCATGTCTCTGTGTTAAAGACCGTACCTTGACCAATAATGGTTTACTTTTATAAATTGCGACTTGGATGGAGAGTTGTCTCATTGGCACTCATTACACATCTTCCTATATCTATTGAAATTCCCGTAAAAAAACAAGTCCTCACCAAAAGACAAATTTGTGTAAAATATTAAGCTGTTTTCATTATGTCTGGCCTTTTGATGATAATGTGCATATTTTAGTCAGGGGCCAGTAATTAAGTGGTTGACGTTGGTTGCAACTGTTATATTTGAATTTCAATGATCCCTAAAGCAATCTATATGTTTTCTCTCTAAATTGTTTTACATTTTCTGCATATCGAGGTACGTATAGGATTTGGGATGGTTGTCTCATTGGATCCAATATCGTTTTTATGTATATGTATTTTTATTGAAGTACCAAATTATAAAAAAAATAAAAATTGACAGATTTTTGATTTAAAGAGAAAAGGGAAAAAAAATAAAACAGATGTAAAAAGGCATTGTTTCTTCTCAAAAATATATGCTTATACATTAGTATGTTTATTTACAGACTAAGCATGTTAATGTGCTCGTTTTTGATATATCACTCGTGTATTGGTTTTGGATATTCCTTTCATTCTAAATAAAAATGATATTTGAGTAACACATTGGTACATAAGTCAATAACATATTCATACTCATTCATATCCAATCACTCTCCTTTCTCAAAACATTGTATTTAATGTCGATAAAATGTGTTTAGTATCAGAAGAGGACAAGATTGGAAGCATTCTCAGATAAGTGCTATAGTTTTCTTGAATCCCGACACGCTGTTGTGCTTTGAATAAACACATATAGTTCGTTAAAACGGACACTACATCTGAATTGATTGAGTTTTCAATAGCCTCTTTCAGTGACTGGAGAGCAATGGTGATTTCCCGAGTACTATCTACTTTATAAGCATATAAAAAAGTAAGGTAACGGTGATATACTATTGGACTTCCAATGCAAAACTCCTCACTGGTAACTGTTAAGTCTTTATGAAACACAAAACCATTATCGTTCTCATTGTTTTTAGATATCGTAACAGATTTTGAGAATGAAGTTCTCAATCGTTTTAGAAAAGACTTACTTTGAAGTATCATTTTCTTAGATCGAATTTGATCGAGTGTAGGTAAGTTCCACCAGCCAGCCAAGTGAATTAAATCTGGTGAAAAAAACTCCTTCGAGATTTGAAGAACATCAATCATCTTATAATATTCCTTAGAAGAGTAGAAAAATACCGCTAGCAGTAACCAGCCTGACACGGCATCACTGTATCTACTCAACAGTAAATGGCATAAGCATTGGTTATATTTGGAGTAGTAATGCTTGTTATCATTGCAGTTTGAATCAGAAACGCCTGAAAGCATGTTAATAGACAAAGCTTCACTTCTACTGTAGTCTAGAAATGCAATAGCGTAGGTATTTTTAAGTGGTTTTGGATAGTGCTCATTTAGAATTATGTAGAGGAAAAAATTCAGCGACCTCTTTATAATAAATGCAAGTTGCGTAGTATCAAAGATGCTCACTGTCATAAAAGTTTTATCGAAATCGGAAATGTCTTGACGTGGCATTGAAACGTCGCTTAAGACACATCCACGTTGTAATCCAGAAAGTGACTTAGAGGACGAAAGTATTTTCATGATATCACCTTTAAGAAATTTTCCAATAAAAACCTCAAGTTGTTTTCGAACTTCTTCTGGAAATCTTCCCTCAATTAAATTATGTTCAGGTATAAAATAATTTGGAATATAATTACACAATATAAAACATTGCAGTCTTTGAATACAAAATGAAAAACAACGCAACAAGTTTTTGGGTATCCAATATGTGACGCTAAGTTCTTCTGGGACCCAAAATAGAACCGTTTTAATGAAATATGAACACAGTAATTTGTTAAAAATATTTACACTGTCAATTATTTCTTTCAGTACAATCTTTAACAGGGCATAACATAACAGCTGACAATGGTTGAACGAATGAATTAATATTTTTTCAACAAGAGAAAACGAAAGTCTCCATTCGTAGCAGTTCTCGACATTGGAATTTGACTTACTACCAACAGGTACTAATAGTACGCCTTCAATAATTGACTCTTTAATCAAACTTTCTGCTGGCCAGTTAGAAAATCTACTTCGGAAAATCCATTTTTTAGCTACGGAAGGCCAATCATAACAAGAATGGCATTGGACAAGATCAGCATCAACTACTCCTTGAAATGTAGCTGAAATACTTGGCCCTTGAATATTCAATACTTTACGCGTGATACCCATAAACCACTCGTCTTTAGCAAGCTCATAGATGAATCGTTCCTTAATGTACTTATTTGTCAAGAGAAAGCCATTAAAAGTGTTTGTATCCTTTATGTTGTTTGAATATCTCTGGGGAACTTTTATAAAAGCAAACCCAACCGAAGCATTTTCGGTATCAAGGAGATACGAATCCTTGTCATCATCTGGCACATTTTCATAGACTACAATTTCATTAGAAAGAAACATCAGATCTAGGTCACTACCAGGGAGGTCAAGGCCCTCTGCCTTACTACCACTGCTAATTATTCTGATATCTGCATTCTGCATACAATCATCAAAGCATTTGTATTTGTATCGCCTGCACGTTACGACCGTCTTAGATCCAAACTTATTAGAAAGATAATGGTACAGTATGCATGAGTTGTGAGACAATGATTGTATATCCTTTTGATGATCCATATTAAATGAAAATTCTAAATAGATCTAAAATCAGAAAAAGAATCTGTGTAAAACACATATGATGTATACAACAATAATGCTTAACTCTTTTATCATATATTTTGTATTAAATACAGACACTTTGTTTATGTTTGTGTTTGCCCACTCTGTATCCACTACCCTATATTGTATACCCAGTATCGCATATCACGTATCGCATGTCACGAAGGAGGAGAGGTCATGCATCGAATGAGGTCAAGTTTGACATATGACGGTTAGCTGGTGTATTTCCTGGCGTGATACGAAATGTAATCACATTTTCATTAAAATTTCCGAAAAATACATGCAAATGAAAATGGGTTATTTATAACACTGATTCAGACTAAAAAACTCGTTTTGGAAAATGATCAAAAGACTAATTCTAACTTAACTAGTATTTCGTATAAAAGTACATACACATATGTGTGTTTACTTTGGTGCAATCGAAATGAAGTAATAAAAACATGGAAATTAAAAATTGCTATAATTGTAAAGCATTTGTATTAATTAGCAATACTTCATGTTTGTACATTGATTATTTTACTTAATCAAGGGTTTGAATAGCAATTTGCAATTCAAATTCCCAATTGAATTGGAAAATTCAAATTCATACAAAAGTGGTGTTACAAGAAAATACACCGACATGTATCAGTAGGAGGTTGAAAATGGGAAAAGTGACATTTACAGATTACATAAAATTGAGAATGGAAATGGGGAATGTGTCAAAGAGACAACAACCCGACCACAGAACAGACAACAGCAGAAGGCCACCAACAGGTCTTCAATGCAGCGAGAAATTCCCGCACCCGGAGGCGTACATGCATACATCACAGATAATAAAGAAATTTTTACACTAAATACTAGCAAACAAAATGAGTAATTTATTCCAGATTAAGACTAAAAATTCTTATGTTGGATCATTTTAACATATGAACATATTTCTCTGTTAATACAATATATGTTTCTTATTAAAATCATGTACCGGTGATATTACTCAGTAATTTTCGTACTTCTGAATGGATTTTCACAAACTGTGAGCTATATCGGTTTAATAAAAATAGAAAAGTTATAAAAAAATAAAAAATAAAACATGCCCTTGTATTACACAGGTTTTAATTACTTTTATTATAAAATTATGGAGTATATGAGTATATTGTTTTAAAATTAAGGAATGTTTGTCCCTCTGGCAAAGCTCTGAGTCCTTGTCCTGCTTTGTCTATGATTTTTCGTCATTTAGGTTTATAGCTCTTCATCCACTGGGTCAAAGCTTCTGCTGGTGGACAAATAGTTCTTGCGGGTATCACCACCCCAGTATCAAGTACTGGCATGAAATTATGGATTTGTGTTATTAGAATTTGGTGTTACACGTTTTTTTGAAATTATATAAAATTAAGATATCTCCCTCATACAAAGCTCTGATTCCTCGCCCGGCTTTGGCTTAACTTTGTGGTCTTTTTTCGTTTCTTGCTCTTCATCCTTTTATTAAGCTTTGGATTTTCAAATAGTTTTGCCTTTGATTTTCAAATATGTTGGTCTCGAGCATCACGGAAGAGACATTGACCATGTTGATTGTCGGAAAGCGCATCTTGTGTAGAAAAATTGGTACAGTTTACGTTATTTAACATATTTTGAGCTATATGTTTTCTTTAGTTATATATCTTTTTGTTGCCAATACTAAAAATAAACCAATTATATTTCTATGCATGTTATTTATGTACTTGCCTGAAAATTTTTGACTTTTGATACATCAGGATGGATTGTTTGTAACAAAGAGTGTAATTGAATACAAAAGAGCAATATTTGTTGTTAGAGTCTACTAAAGTTGCTTTCTTGAACAGCACTGCCAGTAAAATTCTTGTTTTTTTGGTACCTCAAGATCAAAAGTTTGCAAAATTGAGTGCTTCAGTGTTATTAAATCTTTTACTAAGGTAAACAACTATAACGTGGTTTAATATTTTTTTATATATATAAAATTTAAGTACTGGCATTTTATTTGAGATCTTGTTTTCCCTCAGGACCCCTAAAAGAAGATATTCATAAGACCAAGGCAGGAGGTTTGACATCAAAAAAAAGTCAATCACTAATGTTTCATTTGACTTATGTAATAAACAATTTATAATGGCATATATTTATAAATAATAATGATATCTTCGGACGTCAAACAAATTTTACAGAAACTATTACATATGTCGTTCGTTTGATTGCAATCTGCGGAGCATTTAACAACTAATTACGCAGTCAGATGTGTTAAAAAAATGTCAAACTTATCAAATTCTGAAAATATTCAATACTTTATCTGATTGATAATAATTGAAAAAAAAGTAAACCACAGTGCTAAATAATATAGAAAAGAATATTTTATAATCAGGATAAACATTGCATGAAAATAAGATAAAAGGTTTTTTTAAGGTTGTATATCATGAATATACAAATTGAAAATTAAAGTTACTATAATAAAGAAATTTCGACAAGTAGTGTTAATGTTGTAAACGCCCGTTGGCTACTGGTTAAAAGGATACACAATAAAATCGCGTTGACTCGGTTTGACATTACAAATTTGCTCTTTTACTGTTTTACCATTATCATAATAACCGCCTGTTTAGTCATGTAAATATATAACCAGGAAATTAAAGTAAATCGACAAAGTATGTGAAAGCAGCGTTAATGTAAGTTGAGTTTATGTTGTACATGGTCTGCACCAAACTGCATAATAGGTAACAATGAATAACGCCCTAGAAGAGTTATGTCTTTTTGAATAACGAAGTTTGATCTATGTTGGTGAATTTGCCAATTATCTTTAAAATATAAAAGAAAACATGTAAGCAGCGCAAATAACCACCAATACAAGATCTACACAATAATTCTTACAAGACCCAAACCATTGGACAGTCTTTAAGTATTATCTCCTGTAATGGATAAACAGCACAAAACATCAGCAATCAATATCTTCAAGAATGTCTTGTGACATAAATAATTTCATGATTCATATGATATTAGTACCTTAAATGACAAGTTTTGAAAAATCTTCTCGTTTATGTCAAATGAAAATCTTGAAGAAAATAGATAATCACTTGGAACAGAAAAAGCTGATCAGGAATAAATGTACACAACTACTTTATGACAGAAAGCAGTGGATGACACTCTTGAAAGTTAACCTCTTAAATTGCAGATTGTGGTTTAAAGTTTAAAATGAATAGGTAAAAAATAATAATATGTGAATGGTCAGAAAGACAGATTATACAATAAGAAAACAATAAATTTAAACAGAGTTAACCATAAATTCTGATGCACGAGTAGCTGTTTTTAAAGAGGAGTATGTTTATATTTAAAAATATGTCATACATCGAAAAACAAAATCGATATTATGTCCTATTCAATAATTTTTATTACTTATTAAATGCCAATTATTCACTGAGAATAATGACTATATAATTTCGCGTACCCGTAGACGAGTTATAATTATAAAGATAAGAAGTCTATATTTGTCAACTTGTAAAGAACTTTAATAATTGTACATTTAAATCAAACCAGGTATAGTTCAACACATACAAAATGTTGTGTGCAAAATTTGATATTAAGTACCTTTAAACCAAATGTATTCGTGTAACACAAAACAACTACTCAACAATCGACCACTAAAATTTAGTGACATTATCGTACTACTTCTTTCTCATGAAAACTTTGTAATTTAGATTAAACTGTATTTATGAATGAACAATTATAACAAAGTTTGAACAGTATTTTATTCATATAAATTGAATTGGAAAGGGCAACAGGCGTATCCTATGTAAGCGTTAAGTTTTTATGGCATGCAATACTGAGGGTACCCGATTGACAGTAACTGAATATATATGGTACAGTACCCCCACTTCTTACAAAATCACCTTTTTTCAGCCGCAAGATCAGGTGTAGTAAGACAATTACATCAAATGCACGGCATAAACTGAAAATCATAACGTTTTAGTATTCTTTAAATGTCGGAAGATCGTGCACGTAGAAATAAATTTATAATGATATACTTGCCTTTGTGGTGAATGATGTATTTTTATGTTCAAACAGATAATGATGTTTTCGATTCGTCCACCATTCTACACTGTTTAATTCAGTAATGAAATGAAACTGATCTACTTTCTAACGATTTAAATACGCAATATTACCCAGGAAGTTTGTAACATGGCTACTTGAATGTGATTTATGCTACTTAATCAAATGTACATAATGACATGAATGACGCAACGAGTATTTCATAACCAATCAAAACTTATCATATATGAAATTAAAAGTAAAAGTGTCAAGGAAGTGTTATTCTACCTAACAACATGAGAGTTGCTTATTGCAAAACTTACACAATACAGGACGAAAATTATGTAAAATAAGTTCATACTGAATCTAGAACACTTCATGTTGTATTTGTCTACCAAATATAGTAACAAAGATATTTCGTTCAATGTCGATTTCATATGGAGTCATTTAAGTTTTGATTTTTTGTTAACATTTCGATAACATTATTTGTAAAAAGTTAAGGTGCAGTATCAAAACCAATTTAGATAAATATCAGAAACATATCCATTTTCTGTGTTTGGCTCAAAAGATCTAAAGAGCTCGGAGAGTATAGCCCTTCCCCAGTTCCTAAGCCTATAACCAAAAGGTCATATTTATTACTCAATGATCTATTGCTTTCATATTTTTGTAAACTGTAGTTTGTCTGTTTGTCTTTTTTATTTTTTAAAACATATGAGCTTGAATATCCTTTTGGTATATTTCGCCTCTCATCCCAATCTTTACATTTTCAACTTATTTTGTATACAAACGTTCATGTAGTATATTGTTTTCGATTTACTACAAAAGACATGTCTTTTTTTTCTCCGACTGTGAAAGAAATCACATACTGCCTTTGTCAAAGATAATCTTGTTGTTTTATGACCAATCCACTGCTATGAGTCATATTGCAAATAACATTGATTGTAAACGAACATGAACACCAATTTGTTCAACTTAAAATCAGTC